CTGCACTCCAGTCTGGGCGACAGAGTGAGACTCCAACTCAAAAAAAAAAAAAAAGAATTACTTCCTCACTAGTAATTGTTCTTTGTAATATGATATTACTAATATATTATTAAGGTCCCTCTCAGAAACATGTGTAGGATTATATTTTATAGCAAAGTTCATCTCAGAACTTCACATATGAACCCACACATTCTTTTACTCTTGGTTGCTGACACCCTAAATTGCAAATTTCATAGATACTTCAGCAGAACCCCCTCTAGTGACTAAGTCACCCAATAGGACCACACCACATTTGGGCACTGATTATTTGTTTGACTAATATTCATCAACACTTACCATGTACCAGGTACTGTTCTAGATGCTTTGGACTATACCGGTGCAGAAAGTAAATCGATTCTTTACTCTCATAAAGCTTATTTGTGATTAGTAGAGACTGACTCTGAATGCATACACAGGTAAATGTATCACAAGTCATAGAGTAATCAGATGTAAGAATAAAAATAAAGAGTAAGGGGAAGTATGCAGGGATAGGTATGATAGTCTGTAAATAGATTATTTCGAAAAGCCATCTTTGAAATGATGAAATGAGAACAAAGAATAGGTAGAATGGGGAAGTGAACCTCCTGGTTCTTAAGCAGTAAAAGTGTCTAAGCACAGAATACAGCAAGAGCAAATGTCCTAGGACAGAAATGGACTAAACATATCCAAGTCACTGCAATGCGAAAGGGTAACAGAAAGAGAATGAGAGTGAAGCAATGGCAGAGACAAATTCAGGTAAATGATGAGAAGTCTGGTTCTGTGGTCCTTGGTGATCACATGATGAATCTTCTAAGATTTTTCTCATGAGTGAGGCAGGAACCCCTGAGGGGCTTTTGGACAGAAACGTGACATGATCTAACTTAGTTTGACAGAAATCACCCTGAGGACTTTTGCTGAAGAGACGACAGGGGTCACAGATGAAAGTCCTGGGACGTGGCAAGAGCACATGGAAGAGGAGGGAAGAAGAATCATGATGAGGGATGGAGTGAAGGCAGGAAGGGATGGCCATCTTGACCTTCTCTTCTTTATTTTTCCCGCAGGAACCCACAGGCAGCCCTGCCCTCCTTATCCACTTTAAGGTGCACATTACCGGTACCTCACACCTATTTTGGTATTTCAATAAAAGTGATGACAAAAAGAATTGTGTCTTTTTAGATTCCGTCGTAAAAAAGCATTTTTCAATTAAAATACTGGGTGAGTGTAAATGAAAGGTTTTTAGATTTAGGAATCACATAATATCTGATCCTTGCTGAATGAAAAGAACTGGCTATGACTGACCCCCAACAATAGGATTAAAGGGAATTGTTTCAAAAAACACAACGGGATTAAAAAAAAATACAGTAAGATTCTACCTCACGTCCATTAACATGGTTACTATCCAAACAAACAGAATACAACAAGTTTTGGCAAAAATGTTGAATTACTGGAACCCTGTATACTGTTGTTAGATGTAAACTGGTACATCTGCTGTGGAATACAGTATGGTAAGTCTTCAAAAATTAAAAGTTGATTTTTCGTATAATACAGAAATCCCACCTTGGTGAATAAACATACATAATTGAGAGCAAGGACTCAAAGTAATATTTGTCACCTATTTTCACTGTTCACAATATCTAAAATGTGAAAGCAAGTATTAACTGATGAATACATAAGCAAACTGTGGTATATACATATAATTGAATATTATCCAGGCTTAAACAGCAATATAATTGGGATGATGCTCCAGTATGGATAAAGTTTGATGATATTATGCTAGGTGATATAAACAAGCAATACACACACACAAGAAATAATATATGACTCCATTTACATGGAGTACAAATCTAAATATGCCATGTCAGGGTGCATGATATTACATATTGCCTTCTAATCTAGGAGTCTTTCAGCAGGAGGCTGGCGTAACTTTCAATTTGGAAGTGTTCTACTAAGTCAATAAAACCACCTTCTCTCTGCAAGAAAAACATACATGGGTGACTTCCTATAATACTTTTCTCCACCTTTTTCCATATTAAGCCTACATTTTCTTTTTCACTCCATTGACGTCCATACAATTTCTTAAGAAATTTCTTAAGTGTTTTTTAAAGTCAGATATCCAAGGCACTATAATAGTGAAGCACATAGTCCAAAATCAGTGGCATGGTTTCTTTCAGGACATGACTGCAGAGTTGATGACATTTGCTGCCTGTCCAGAACACTGGAACTCTGACAGCAAGTTCTGGTGTTTGTGTTCCATGGTATTTGGGAAGGCATTTGAACAAGGCATTTGAACAAGAAATACTCTGAACAAGTCGCAGATATAGTAGAAGTGAGTAAAATCATTTGAATGCTGAACACCTAGACATATCCAAATTTGAAAAACAAGCTCAAGGTGATCATCATTCTGGCTTGAGGGGGTGGTGAGTGCAGGTGTCTCTTACAACACCAGACATTCACATACTGACCTTATCATCTGTATGCATCCAGTATAGTTCAGTTTCTTAATGTTAAACAACATATGTTGCTAATAGTCAAGATTTATGGCTTTTGTGAATTGTATGGCAACTTGGTAGATATTCAGTCCATTTTCAAGTTCAAGTCTTTGATATTCATGTTATTAATATTTATTGGGGGGTAAGGAAATATAAGAATTGTTGCAAAGACAGTTCTTGAGACATGTGTGCATGTGAATTAAAGATACAGACAGATATATTAATAAATATAATTGAACAGAGGTTAGAAGAAAAAGTAGTTGTCTTGGAAATTAATTGTTATAAGAAGCCAAATCTTGTCTTTCCAGAAACACATGTAGTAGTATGACTGAAAGATTCAGTCGGAACCTCTGGAAACACATCCTTGACCAACTTGAGAAGATGATGCCATCAAGAAAGCCCATGTGGTGGATTTTACTTCTTTCTGCTCGTCGACACCAGGTAATGGGTCTCTATGTTGGATATTGTTTGGGATTTTCAATACAGAAACTTACATCCATGTACTAGAGTGTAGATGTCTATGCGGAACTTTAGATAAGATTTTTGAAGAACAATTCAAGCCTTCCTCCCAGGTATATATTTAAATGCCTTGATCAACACATACAAAATTTACATATATTTTTCACTGAATGAGTAATTAATAAATTCTCTATGGAGTATTTTTTTCCCTGAAACTATTAGAGATAGAGATTTAAGTGAAACATTCTCTACAGATATACATTCGAATCTCACTTCACATGGGCAAGGTGCACAATGATGAGATCATTCAGTAGCTCAATTTGCCAGACATCAAGTCATTATAGGAGAATAGTGAGAAAAGGAACACAGAAGCAGGAAAGCAAGCAGGCATATTGTGGCCCTAATGCAAAGTGGGTTTACTAGAAGCATAAAATATGCAAAACAGAATCCATCTGAGTGATTCTATGTGCGACCTATGGAGTAAGACTCTTGCTACTACAGCGTGACCCAGCCATTTAGTACTTTGCAAATTAGTTTTATCTGGCCTTTCTGGGTTTTGTTTGGATTCCTCACTATCATATGTGAATCTGAATAACATTGTTCTATGGCCTTCAAAAGATCATGTTTGTGAAATATCTAGCATGACAGAGTAAAGCACACAGTAATTGACTGCTCTTATTACAGATGTTTCTATTTTGTAAGTAACTCGATTACTATTATCAAGGTTTAAATGAGATCATTTCAATTCTTCTATCCACTATGTTTTACAATTTTGGGGGCACTTGTTTTCTTTGGTCACCTCTAGCCCAAACTCCCTGCCTCTGTTCAAATAGTTTAGCTGACAGATTTTCCATAACCATAGACATCCTTCAGGAGATAGCCTGGTTCTACATTTTGTTGACCGTGTTTTGATGTAGAACCTTATCATTTTTTTTCTCTATGATATACAATGATACCCAAAGCTATGCATCTCCATCTTGAGTGTACTTTGCAGACTTTACTAGTAGGCATAACTGTTCTTTAAAGTCCTTTGATGCCAGCCTTTCACCAGACATTCATCTTTGTCTGGAGAGCCTTTTGTAGGCTGTTGGCTTTTTGATGACCATTTTGCTGATTTCTGCCTTTCTCTCTTGTCTTTTCCCCTTTCCTCACTCCTCCTTTTCAGATGACTCTCAGAAACTCTC